AGCCATAAATTCAAATTTTATATTGCTAGTAAGCCTCTACTTTACACTAAGCCCAATGATTTATCTGACTACTTCTTATTTATCACTTCAGTGCTGTAATCACTAACTTTTGATTTAATCATCCAAATAGGCCATAGTTTAAATAATCTAAAGATTATACTGCACTTCTTCATAAAAATGGACAATAAACAAACCTTTCAATAAAACATCCCATTTTCTATACATAGTGGTAGTACCTTTATAAGCTTTCCTAATATTCAAGTTTCCATAATAAATGATACTACAGGAGTAATTCCCAATAGTCATAAATATAAAATAAACACTAAATTATGACATGATGCTAGTTCAAATAAATCAGCCAATTTTAAGCTTATTTTAAAGAAAAATCCATTCTTAATTCTCATAATTTAAGAGAAATCTACTTTACATAACAGACAAAAATGTTAAATGTTTATACCTATATTACCTTTGATCTGAATTGTAAGTATATAGATTAAAAGAATACTGCCAGATAACAAAGCAATCAAAGGCCTGATATTGCCTATAAGCAAAGTGAATTACATTGACACATAATAGATAAGTTATCTAATAAGCTTCAGAATACTTAACTAAACTCAATCATTTTTTTAATTTTTTTTTTTGAGACAGAGCTTCAAGCTATTCCCCTGGGTAGAGTGTTGTGGCATCACAGCTCACAGCAACCTCCAACTCCTGGGCTCAAGCGAGTTTCCTGCCTCCACCTCCCAAGTAGCTGGGACCACAGGTGCCTGCCACAATGCCCGGCTATTTTTTAGTTGCAGCCATCATTGTTGTTTGGCAGCAACCTGGGATGGATTTGAACCCGCCACCTTAGGTGTATGTGGCTGGTGCCTTAGCCACTTGAGTCACAGGGGCTGAGCCACTAAACTCAATCATAAATAACCCAGCCAAGGCTATCTAAATTATATTTTCATTTGTCATTGTCTAGTCTTACTTGAAGTTTGCTTTTATTATATTCTTTTTTTATTTTTTGAGACAGAGTCTCAAGCTGTTGCCATGGGTAGAGTGCTTTGATGTCAAAGCTCACAGCAACCTCCAACTCTTGGGCTCAAGTGATCCTTTTGCCTTAGCTTTTCTAATTTCAGTAGAGACAGGGTCTTGCTTCTGCTCAGGCTGCTCTGGAACTCGTGAGCTCAAGCAATCCACCCACCTCTGCCTCCCAGAGTGCTAGGAATATAGGTGTGAGCCACCACGCCCAGTGCTTTTATTATATTCTTTTTATCCAATATATCATTTGATCAGGTACAATTCCAGGTTGTGTGAGACCTGAAGGATGAGCCAAATATCTATTAAAAGTTAGAAAAAAAGGCCTGGGGCCGAGGCAGGTGGATAGCTTGAAATCACAGGTTCAAGACCAGCCTGAGTAAAAAGCGAGACCCCTTTCTACTAAAAACAGAAAAAGGGAGGAAAGAGGATGGCTTGAGCCCAAGACTTTGAGGTTGCTGTGAGCTGTGATGCCATGGCCCTCTACTGAGGGTGACATAGTAAGACTCAAAAAAACCCCAACAAAACAAAACAAAAACAAGCCTGACTTGTATAAACATCACAAAATCCAACAAAATAGCATAAGAATTCTATTTTTCCTATTTGAATGCATATTATTTGATTGCCTTTTGCTGAATATAATTTTACAATACTTTCAATAGCAAGAATTGCAAAAAAGCAGATCTTTCTTCTACCATGGTGAAAGATATATTAGTTTGATAATCAAGATGTATAAATTAGTTTGATAACCAAGATACATGCAATAAGCAACTTCACCTTAAGGCTTCTTATTGATACTTCTACAACTTTGTGCCTTATAAACACTAATAATCTTTTCGTATTTCAAAGGCAGAATTCTATCAAAAAATAAAATGTGTGCTATGTTATTAATTTCTGATGAGAAAAGTTCTACTTTGACTAGAAATCTATGAGAATTGGAAATTGTTTTCCTGACTACCTTCTGGCTTCATACATTTCAAACTTGCTCTTCTACTATTTACATATTTGATGCCAGACACCAAGGAACACATTCCCATCACAATGAGGCTAATAGGCAATATTTACCTATCTCCAGAATCAGCTATGAATCACAAACACATCCCGCTAAACCCATACTGAGTAAATCCCCAATCGGGAAAATGCCTAAAGCCACTCTACTACCAGGTGACATGAAGGAGAAATTACAGCAGTTAAAATACCTTTTCTTAGAAAAACATTCAACCAGCTTGGCACATGTGGCTCAAGTGGCTAAGGCGCCAGCCACATACACCTAAGGTGGCAGGTTCGAATCCAGCCTGAGCCTCCCCAAAACAACAATGACAGCTGCAACCAAAAAAAAAATAGCCAGGCATTGTAGCAGGCGCCTGTGGTCCCAGATACTTGGGAGGCTGAGGCAGGAGACTCGCTTGAGCCTAGGAGTTGGAGGTTGCTGTGAGCTGTGATGCCACAGCACTCTACCCAGGGGGACAGCCTGAGGCTCTGTCTCAAAAATAAATAAATAAATAAGAAAAGAAAAGCATTTAACCATGTGAACATAGTATTGCTATGGTCCTTCTAGAGGCCTTTGGAAAAAGATCAAACTAGCAAAAAGCCCTGAAACTTTAGGGGGAAGCTTTCTAAATTTGACACCTATAAAAGACAAATAATACATATTAATTATGAAGTCTGTAATATACTGAAGCTCTTTGAACCATCCTTGCTCAACCAAATAAGTAAAATACCACCATTAACATGCATTTACCTGTTTCTCCATCCCACATCTCCTGTCCTTCTTCCTTGTCCTAATGTGATATATCCTAAATTTTGAGTTTATAAATCTATCACTTTTTGTATTTTCATTAAAATATCATATGTAAACAAATGAGCATTTTTCTTTTTGAGCATTTTCTAATACTTATTTCTTCATTCACATGTATGCCCAAAACTCATCCTTGTGGTTGTGTATAACAACTTATTTGCATAGCAGTGTAATAACCCATTGGGTCAATATACCAAAATTTGTTTAGTCATCTATGAAGAATCTTCAGGTCATTTCAAGTTTTTCTTGCTGTTCTTACATTAACATTTCTGTTTTGAACAGTTTTTTGTTTTTAATTTTTCTTATTTATTTATTTTTTGAGACAGAATCTCACTATGTCGCCCTTGGTAGAGTGCAGGCATCACAGCTCACGGCAACCTCAAACTCTTGGGCTTAAGTAATTTTCTTGCCTCAGCCTCCCAACTAGCTGGGACTACAGGCTCCCGCCACAATACTGGGCTATTTTTGTGTTGCAGTTATTGTTGTTTAGCTGGCCCAGGCTGGGTTGGAACCTGCCAGCCTGGGTGTATGTGGCCCGCACCCTACCCACTGAGCTATGGGCACCACCCTTTAACAGTTTTTTGTATCAAGGTACCTATGTGTAAGCAATTTTTAAGTGTTTGCTGGGTAATGATAAGGTATACATGTTCAACTTTTGGGGACAATCAAAGTTTCTGAAGGAAATACATATATGTTACTTAAGTCTGTGAATTTACTAAAGACCATTGAATTGTACACCACAGATGAGTTGTACAATATGTGAATTATTTTTTAACCTTTGTGTATGTGTGCACACGTCATACTTTACTGTGTGCATATACATATACACATAGTATATGAGGTTCCTTTACCTGCACATGTAGCAGTGCTTCATTACTTTTTATTACTGAACAATATACTACCATCTACCATATGGATATGGAACATTTCACTTACTCATTAACTAATGGACATTTTAGTTGTTTTAACTTTGTGGCTAATATAAATAATGCTATGAACATTCATGTGCAAGTTTTTATGTGGACATATTTCCATTTTTTTCTTTGGACTACATATACCTAGGGATGGAATTGCTTGGTCATACAGCAACTTATATATATATATATTTTTTGTTTGTTTGTTTGTTTGTTTTGTTTTGTTTTGTTTTAGAGACAGAGTCTCACTTTATCTTGGGCTTAAGTGATTCTCTTGCCTCAGCCTCCTGAGTAGCTGGGATTACAGGTGCCCACCACAATGCCTGGCCTTTTTTTTGTAGTTGTTGTTGCAGTTGTCATTGCTGTTTTAGCTAGCCGAGGCTAGGTTTGAACCCACCACCCTTGGTATATGGGTCTGGCGCCCTACCCACTGAGCCACAGGTGCCGCCCTGTATTATGAATTCTAATCCACTGATCTACAGGTCGATCCTTATGTGAGCACCATACCCATCTTTATTACATAGCATTGTGGTAAATTCAAAATTCAGACTATCTGGCGGCACCTGTGGCTCAGTGGTAGGGCACTGGCCCCATATACTGAAAGAGAGGCACTTTGACCGGCAGAGATCTCACAGACCACTAAGGCTCGTACAAAATTGGTGGGGGAGGGAGGCTGCAGAGAAGCACCAAGAAGGAGAGATAAGAAAGAAGAGAGAAGAGGGGAGAGAGATAAGGAGAGAGGGAGAGTAGAGAAGAGTAAAGGGGAAGAGAGAAGAGAGAGAGAGAGCAGAGAAG